TATTTGTACATAATTGCAAACGTATATGATCAAGAAACATGGCAGAATTGATAGCTTTCTGAAGTGCACAATGGCAAATGTGTGCGTTTCTGAACATACAAAAAATACAAACATTAGAAATATGACCTTTTTTTATAGATAGAAAGATACCTGGGGTATTAAAGAAGAGCTACAATTAAGCATGCTTTATTAAATGAGACTTTAATTAGGGAGTTAAAGCTGTAAATAGCTGACCCAGCAGAAATCTAGCCTTTTTCTTTTTGTACCTGAAGTTATCTGCCTCTTCTATTAACTTTAGAGATTAAAGCCAACCTGCATGGCAACTTTCCTTTAGTTTTCAGTTGACTCGTTCAGCAAAGAAAGTACCTGGTGCTTTAGGTAGGGAGGTCCGTGCCACTCACTCCACAGCATTGTGTCAGTCACAAAGCACTTGTACTATGATGCAGGGAAAATCCAGATCCCTTGGTAAACAGCAACTTATAGCTACACAGGGGTGCTTCTCCTGCTACTGAACAGAACAGCTGTTGTCTATGTGCTGCTGGAAAAGGTGGGTGAAAGTGAACCTGTCGCTTTGCCCGGCTGCATAGGACAAGCACAGGTTCACTTCAAACCCATGCTAAACACCTTGAGCTATTTCACCATTGTGTAAATGTAAACCCATTACACAAACCATGAAATGACATAATAGCACTGGATATTTACAGAATTAATCAACATAAAACTATGGAACTATTTCAATTCAATAGAGAGTAATGCATTACGTTTAGCCTTTTTAATTATACTATTACTATTTGTGTTAGAAATAAATTGCTATTGTTAATGTATTTGTCATTATTGTTGTTCTTGCAGGTATTTATGAGCCGGCATTTCTTATATAACTGCAGTGAACCTACCCTGGATGTGAAAATTGCCTTTTGTCAGGTGTGTGTTCCTAACAGGTAAAACAAGGTACCGTATGAATTTGTTGTTTAATTTTTCCCTCCAAATTGCACATTGTTTGTCATTTTGTCACATTACCATTTCACTTGTCAGTGTTCTGTTTATATGTAAATAAGTTTAGAAAGTTTGTATACAGGGGTGCATGTAACAAACTGTAGCTTCAGTTTCAAGCGGTGTAGCTGTCTGCCCAGTAGGTGGACTTGGTGCTAAGTAGGATCAGGGCTTTCATGGTAAACAATTAATGTCAATGTGTGTATATGAAACCACTCACTTGTGTTGCTAGCAATTATATGGTTGTTTACCAGCTATCAGCAATTTGGCTGATGGCCCTTGACATGCAAATTCCAGTGGCCTTACTGGCCTTTTTGAATACAGTCATTTTTCAAGCATGGAGCAAAATTTTATCGGCTCCGCACTGTCAGCATATAGCGCACATTAGCAAATGTACTCCTGTGACCAAAAAGAGAACTAAAGCCAAAAAAAGGTTTGGCTTTAGTTCTCTTTTAAATGTGGTGTCTGCATTAGGTTTCAATTTTTAGTTTTTCCCCCTTTTATTTTACCTTTTTTCAGCCAGTAACACACTTCCTGTCTTAGGGTGACTCCATTCTATGGAGGAGCAATGGAGCTACCCTTGGATAGCAGCATTGTCATTCTGTGACGAGGGTAGTGAAAGATGCACTGGCAGATTTAGATGGACTGGACTAACAAATTAAATCTGAAATTCAGCTAACACTTTTTTAACAATTACAGAAACGGTTTTGTTCTTCCTTTTCGTATAAAGGTTCTACATAAATGATTAAAAGCTAACCATTGTAAGCAACCCTTTCAGTGTTAAATGGTTTGGCTCAACCCTCTATCTGTCACTTTTGATTAATAACTTGGCCTGTTAAACAAAGTTGAAAAAAAACCAGATTGCTAGTCTGATCACAAAGTGAAAACAAAATAAAACAAAGCCTAACAAAGGAAACAAATGCAACCACCACATTTAAGGATTGGTAATATGCAATATATTAAATTTTTGGGTTAGGAGAATAATAGATGTATTTCCACCTTTCTCTGGGCTGGGGAATAACTGAGAATGGCCATGCCTACTCTATGCTTGCCTATGCAGGGAGTGGTTTAGTACTCCTAGACTTTTAGCTATATTATTGGGCCTCTGTCTTTGAAACAATTCAATGGTGGTTTGCGCGCCTGAAGGATAATATGGCGCATGCTTAAAGGCCACTTGCTTGGGATCACTCCCAGAACTTCATAACTTAGTTTTAGAGGCCCAAAAGCATGTTTTACCTTACCTATACCCACAACAACTACCCCTTAGGTGTGGGCTTTGACTTGTCAAGGGTTTATCAAGCCCATTCACCAGTCTTCCTTACAGTTGCTGTGGGGCAACCCCATTTCAGAACAATCCCTGACTCCCAAATATGGGCACATTACAGTATAAAGATGTTTTACTGGGGACATTCCAATACTTCAGGATCTTAAAATAAAATATGACCTGGCCAACTGGATGCTGTTTAGGTATTATATTGTGATGTGCAACATGTTCCCAGTTTCCCCATGTAACTCTCTTCTGGGCAGATCCTGTGCAACAGCCCTTAATGAGCAGGGATCTTGAATCTTTTTATATTTGTCTCCTCTGCACTGACTAGCCTAAATTAGTCCGATTGTTGAATCCCTCTTTTACTATAGCGCTATTAAGTTTACATAATGATGAACAATTACAGCCTTTTTAAATTAATAACATTCTATTTGTTGGATTATGCAAAAAGAGAAATCCTCCTTCTTTGGAAATCTCAAACACTGCCACAGATATCTGCTTGGGAATCTATTATTATAGCTGTGTTACCTTTGTATAAAATAACCTTTATGAGTAGGAAGTAGCTTATGTAGTATGATAGCGTAGAACCACCCTCCCTTACCTACACCTTGCTACTCCTCCCCCCTATGCCTCCCTCTACTTATCCCGTGCCCTCCTCCTCCTTCCCCCTTCAGATCCCTTTTCCTTTCCTACCTTCCTCCCTCCTGGCACCATCTGAGAATGTATAGAATCTTAAAACGTTTGATTTGTCTTGCAATTCTTTCTGCAAAACACTGTACAAATGACCACACTGGAAGCCTAATTGTTGTACTTCCTCATTGTTTATTGTCATTTATAAAAATGTTTTACCTTTAAAAAAAGTAAGCCAGTTACTGTAATTTCTCGTATCAAAGTATAATAAACTTGATTCTGGAATATTCATCAGAAAAATATGCTAGGAGATGGTAAATTACATGACTCAAAATCACAATGAAATGTGAAAGGAAGACTCATTACAGAAATCAATAATCCATTGATATATACTCACACACGTGAAGAAGAAAAATTAAAACTTCATGAACCCGTAATACATTTTAAATTAACTGTAATCCATGTGCTGTAGAATATTTGATTGGGAATATAATGAAATCCATGACATTTTATATATTATAGAGACATATTTTTGTACTTCTTCAAAAGCTTTAAACCTTTGTTTTTGCTTCAAGGTAACTTGTCATTGGAGTAATTTGGGGGCTGTCATTGCCAGCCTTGTTATTAAAATGTTACCAGGTTTTCTTTGTTATTAATATCTTTAGAGTAACTGACTTGGAACAAGCATGCAGGAAGTGAAGTCAGAATGGCACCCCATATCTCTCATGACAATTCTCCTTTTAATAACTGTCCAAATGAAAGAAATTCACTTCTTAATGTCTGAAAATGCTTGTTGCGTGGGTGTTTTGCTCACCTACTAGCGGTAAACCTTTGAACACCAAAGCTGGTTGGTCCTAAAAGATATGGCAGCCAAGAGGTTAAAACAAGCTCACGGTTGCAATAGCAACCAATGCCTTGATTTAAAATAAATTATCAGGCTTCTGGCTTACATGCAGAAGTGATCTGGGCAGCCGAAAGTTGTCCAATACGTTCTAAAGACCTCAGAAGAGCGCTACCCCACCATTGTAGCCTGTAAGCCCTCCTTACCATCTTGTCTTGAGTTGTATTGTGATTGTAATGTCTTCCTTATATTGTAAAGTGCTGCGCAAACTGTTGGCGCTATATAAATCCTGTATAATAATAATAATAATTGTTCTTGGGCTCATCTGCTCTTCCTTGGAGCCTGGGACCACTAAAAACAACTTCATGATGTCGGATCCTCGATCTCCTGTGTGAAGAACTCCGGATTCACAGTCTTCAGATCATTGCTGACTGTTGTGGGGAAAGGAGCATATTGGCATTTGTGCAAAAAACTGAAAAACTGGTCGGGTGGTGAAAGGGTTATTACTGCATCTAAGATTCAGATCGGGAAAGTTTGAGAAAAGTTAGAAGACCTTACATGCTTGCTTGTTAAGAGTCAGCATGACAGCCAGGGAAGTACATTTTAAAAAGCAGAGGTCAGCAATGGCAGCTTCCATGCCAGATTTTCTTACAACAGTAACATCTGGATAACATTGGAAAGATCAAAGTCAAAAAGAGAAATAGCCGCCTCTTGGAATATGACCAATATATAGTAAATACGTAATTTAGGGGAGCAAATCTATTTAGGAAGATATAGAGTAGTTATCCTCCTTTCCAAACAAATGAAGACAGCCATTTTGAATAAAGTCTCTTATATTACTACTTGGTAGCAGATAATGGTAGTGACAACAGTGAACCATTTATGTAGAATGTGTGTCTGCAAATCTGCTCAGATTCTCAATAAGGGTGCATGTGACAGTGAGACAATGCAGGAACACATTTGAGAGACAGTTGTCAGGTAGTAACAGCAAGTGCGTGAATATAGACCGTCATGGCAGGATCACCAAGTACTATTTTAATGAAAGCTGCTGATTTATAAAGACTGAAAACAACTTTCAAAATTAAATGAACAATTTAAAAATTATATATGTTTTTGATTTAAAACTACTTTTAGAATTATTCATAGTTCATAATTTTTTTTAACAACCCCGAAACACTGTTAATATAAACAGAAAGGTAACAAAATTTGAAGAATTGTTCCAGAAAAGTTCTTGAGCTCAAGCTGAAATCCAGGCTAAACAAATAATGTCTAAATTAGGAGTCAATTAGGGGTTATTGGCCACCGTTCAAGCCAATAACCAATATCAGGTACCAATATTCTTTTTACATCCAGCTGCACCAGCAGCTAAATATAAACAGCAGGCAGTCACCTGATATTGGTCAACCCCCCTTTGATCTGCTGGCAGGAGGATTCTGCAGCCGGCAACTGAATGTAAACAGCAGGCAGTAGTCAGTGCAAAAGCCAGCCTGCTATTGGCTATTTCAAACTGCAATAGCAGGCTGTCTATTAAACCCGCCAACTACCTACTGTCGATCAGCAGAGGGATGGACCTGAAGGAGAAAGTTCTCCTACAGGTCCGATCCTCTGCTGATTGATCTGCAGTGGCTAGGAGCAATGGCCAGCCTGTTATTGGCTATTTCAAATTGCAATAGCAGGCTGGCTATAGCACCCGCCCACTGTCAACCAGCAGAGGAGGACCTGATGGAGAACTTCAGGTCCACCTTCCGAAGGAGAAAGTTCTGACTAGCTCCTTTGATCAGCTGATCGAGGGATGCCAACCAGACAGTGGCACCCTCTGTTTATTATCGGTAATATCCGTAAATGTAACCGATACCAATAATTGAAAAACTTGGGAATATCGGCCCTGATTATTGGTCGGTCCAATAATCAGTCGATCCCTAGTCTAAATACAAGAGCCATACTTACTTGAGCCTTGGGGGCTGCATTGTACAGTAGGATGTACAGAAAACAAAAGGGAACAGAGCGCCACCTCCGTGTGTAAAATTGTTTATTACAATAAATAAAACAAGGGATAAAAGTACTCAGATGATTCTGAGGAAGGGGGCTTGCCCCTGAAACGTGTCAATCTTGGCTGACTGCGGTCGGTGGACGGTGATGTGACCGGAGACTACCGTGTTACATGGTCGGGGATATACCATGTTGGGTTAACAGACAGTGTGGCCTCTCATTTGTTGTTAA